GCCGAGGGCGGCCGCCGGGGCGCCGACGCCCCCCGCTCCAGCGGGGGGGCCAGCAGCTGCGGGGCCGCCGAGGGCGGGCAGCGCCGCGGCGGCACCAGCAGCCGGCGGGGCGCCCGCCGCGGGGGCGGCGCCGCCAGGCAACCCTGGGTCGCCCGCAGGCGCGAGGGCCCCAACGCCCGCGCCAGGCGCGACGGCTGCAGGGTCGGGGAGCGCCAGCCCCCCCGCGGCCAGCCCCAGCACGTTGGTGGCGCTCAGGTCGATGCAGAACGGCGACGCAGGCGTAGCTCCGAACCCCTGGGCCGTCGCGCGGCGAAGCGCCGCCCACGCCTCAGCGGTCCGAGGGAGCTGCCGAAACTGATAAAGATGCTGAGGCGGTATCCCAGGAGGCTCCTCACCTTGCCCACTGAGAATGTGGATCGATCGGATGTCGTGATTCGGGGTGGCCACCTCGGCATAGTCATCACCGTCGGGCGTGAGAACGCACCCAGGCAGCAGCGTCAACCGCTCGTGGTAGATGGCAGGCCCGCCCGCGTTGTACCTCACCAGGTGGAACTGGCCCGCCGCGGGCATCGCCGTCCCGACTACGCTCTGCGAAAGCGCGCGGCCTGCGCTGCTGCCTCCGCCGCCAAGTCGGACGTGCGCACGTCCGCCTCCAGCGCGAACGGCTTACCCCGAACCGAGGGCGCCGCGCAGCTCGAGGCCCAGCCAGCGAGCGACCAGCCGCCCAGCACGCCGAGGAGCAGCGCGGCGCCCAGCGCGGCGCCTGAGAAGCCCGCGGACTCGGCCTCCGAGGGGGCGGGGGTCGCCGCCCCCACGCCGCCTGGGCAGCGGCGCTCCAGCGCGGGACAGTGTAGTGCGGGAGAGCACACGCAATCGCAGGCGGGACACGGAGGAGAACTGCCGCGCACGATGAGAGCCGTGGAGAGGGCACGGGCGAGATCGCGCGTGAGGCGTTCGAACAATGCCTGCATTCCCTCAAGAACTTGAGCAAGGAGGTGCGGCCACATGCAAACCCACAAATGCCGACAAGTCTCTGTATGATGATGATGTTGATGATGATGATGATGATGGTGGCGATGCTGATCTTGATAATACTGATGATTGATGGTGATGATGCCAGATCGGCTTCAAGGTGTCCTGCAGGAATGGATCTTCCTTCCCGCCCCAGGACAACATGACGCCGTTCTGCTTGAACGCGTGCTTCTTCTTCGGCGCCGCGTGGTCGTAGACGTCCCGCGCCCACTTGGCTACAAAATCCCTTGGGGGGAAGGCCTCGTGCTTGCGCTTCTTGAAATGCTCCAAGAGCCAGGCGTCCTCGATGAACCGGTAATGTCCATTCCTTGGTTGAGGTGCGTGTCCGCTGGTTGCGCGTCGCCCGTGATCCCTCCGGGCAGTATGATGACCACGTGCTTCTTCTTGCGCGCCGCGCGCAGCGTCGCCTTGGCGATGTGGCCTTCGAGTTTGTCTAAGAAAAGGAGTCGCCAAGGGTCCTGTGGTCCCGCTGTTGCCTTCTTGTTCCTGTTGCTCTTATTCACCCAAATCACCACGTTCTCCGTCCGGTGGCTCCCCTTCTTCTGCCATTGCACGGTCATTGCTTTGCCACTCGGGGGCGTCACGTGGACCTTGACCCCCTTGCCCTTGAACAAGATTCCTGGCCTCGCGGGGGGCGTCTGCGGCGAGCTCGTGAGCCCAACCATGAGCGTTTGGCGCTGGCGCGTGGCCGAGAAGATCTCCGTGGTGACCACCTCCTGCGTTCCCTTCTTGTCCCATATCTTACGCCCATGGCCTTCGTTTGCATGGAGTGGCGTCTGGTCGCAGTTCATCGATTATTTTTGGTGTGCCATTGAAGTATAGGAGTGCCCTGATGGAGTTGCGCAAGAGCACCCCGAGGCGGTGCTTCCATACAAGTGGAGACAAGCGCACTGCCTTGTTCGGTACTCGGCGGGATACGCCATATTGGCGAGCCCACCGCGCCACGAACTTCACGCCCTCGTTGCCTCCCAACTGCATGGTTTTCGTCCCGCCCCGCTCCTTGTACTCCTTGTACAGCATGCGCGTGGCCGCCGTGAGCACAGCGGTCGTCAAGCGCCCGCCATAGACCACTTCAGGAATCGAAAGGGACGGCCCGCCCCTTGCACCCTGGAGCGCTTACTGGTACGCGTCTCCTGGGCAAAACGCCCGCGAGACTCTGCTTTCTTTGCGCGGCACACCAGCCCAGCGTGCTTGCGGAACACGGGGTGCGCCTGGATTTGCCCTGCGACGTTGAAGACTTTGCGCGCGGTGGGGTTGATGCCGCCCTTCATCGCCACTTCTCTGAGCAAGGCCTTCCAGCTTAACCGAAAATCGCACCGCTCGCCTTTCCTTCCCGACCCATTTCCCAACATCGACTTGGCCTTGCGCAACAAGGCTTCCCCATCCAGCGACAGCTTGTCCCCCACTTCCGCCTCGGGCTTCCAGGCTTTTGCAACCACCATCGGAAGATGCGGATGTACTCGGCACCACTCAAAATCCTACTTCGCGCCGGACTCGTGAGCCCGTAATGGCATCGCGAATGTAATAATAACGCGATTTGCTTGGAAAGTTAGCCTGCAGACAAACCATACATCATCATATGTTCCGTGCCGTGGTACAGTGCTTACATAAGTAATCGTTTGTCTATGTGTGTATGTTCTTTTGTGGGAATCACATTTGCATGCGCCTTTCCAGTTTCCTGAAGACTCGCACGTGCATCTACTACATGTTTCGGTAAATCGGCTGTCATTCTTGAAGTGATTCGGCATTCGCCATTGCGGCAACCTCCCCTCTGTTATTGGACTTGTTTGGGTCGGCACTTGCATGAATAGTATAGGCGTGTGTGTACGCATAAGATAGTAAACACTCACGAGCGTCCCTCTCTGGAGGACCTGGGGACCCCTACATTCCGAACGAAGCTCATCAATGACACCGCGAAGGGAAAGGGCCCCGGCAGCATCGACGACCTCATCAGCAGCTTTGAGCCAGCTGATGGCCCAGCACTGCCAGAACACGACTGGGATGTCGATGCCGTGGATCCCGAGGGCGAGCCGGACGACGACGACAAGGGCGTGGACGGACCTCCCGACGCCAAGGGTGGCGCCCCAGCGACGAAGAGGCCTGCTGCAGGCCTTGGCATCCCAAGACTTGCTAGGACCATGTTCAGAGAATCACCGCCGCCCCTTCCTCCTTTCCCTACCGCCCCGTCGCCCTCCCTGCCCCCTCCCTGCGCTGCGCGTGGCTCCGAGGAGTCGCGCGGCAGGAGGCCCCGAGAACCAGGGCCTGAACGAGGGGGGATGCGGATGATCGAGAGGAGTACTCCAGGAGGAGGGGGAGGAGGAGGAGGAGGAGGAGGAGGAGGACGGTGAGGAAGGGGAGGAAGAGGGAGGAGAGAGCAGGGATGGGGGAGGTAGGAGGAACGAAGGGCAGATGAGAGACAAACGATGGTGGAGGAAGGATGACAAGGTAGGCAGGAGGGGCTCGATCGGCTGCTTCACAAGCCTCCCTGTAACTCGGGCGGCCGTCCAGCGCAATGTTTTAGCCTGTCTTATTGTCTGTGGCGGGGGGCCGTTTCGGAAAACCTCGAAAACAAACATCGCCTCGTCATATGAATGACCGCCTCGCCTGAGGCGCGAGCATGAGGAAGCCTTCGGCCGCGATGAACACGGCGGTGAAGGTGCCCGCGAGCCCAGCGAAGGAGTTGGAGCAGGTAAATACATTCCTAGAAGCTACCACGGCGCCAAGAGTAAAGGACGTGCTGATACATGAAGGAGATACAATCGCACGAGGTGGACATGGCCGGAGCGGGCGGCAAGGTCAACGTCTAAAACCATCTCGCGCAGGGCAAACAACTCAAACAGACCACCCAGAAGAAAATTGCGATGAAGATGGCACACATTGCGCGTGCGATGGCGTCCAAGGCAAAGGGGAATATGCGCAAGCTCGTGAAGAAAGGGGGGAAGGCGAAGGTAAAGCTGCCAAAGGGTACGAAGACAAAATGGTACACGAGAAAGTCGGGGACCCGTGCTGGCAGCAAGTACCCTGTCTACACAGCCCCCGACGGGACGGTGCTTTACTCGATGAAGGCCTTGTTGCAGCACGTCGGCATGGCCTGAGAAGATCCTTGCTAACCGACGGCGGCGTTCGGGAGAACGTCCGATAGTTTTCGCGCCGCGGTCGAGTTGCGCGTGGCAGGTACTTCGGTGCCGTCGCGGCGTGCGGTAAAGTTGAGCTCTGCTGAAAATATCGCGCGCTATCTTAACTTCTGCCGCAACACCTGCAAGCTCCAGAGCGTGATTCCGTGACCGCAAGATGGCCCGAGAGGCCCCAGGGCGGACCCGAGAGAGCCTCAACTTTGCCTGAAGGGCTTTCGAAGGGACCCAAGAGTAAGATTACGCCTGAAGGGCCCCACGCCGGCCACGCGGCGGCCCAAAAAGACCCCTCAGACGACCACGAAGGCCCAACAGACTCCCAGCACGGCCAATGAGGCTTCACGAGGGCCCGTGCGACCCCCAAGACTGCCCTCAGGAGCTCAAGAGCCCAAAGACGAACCAAAATATTACGAAAGGGTCCATGCTCCATGCGCTCATAAGCGCCGGCGAACATTAAGCAGGCATGCCGCGAGGGCCGGCGGATAATATTCTGTGAATATCAAAGCTGGCGAACATTATGTTGGGGCCCAGAAACCCGACCGGTGAAAATTAAACCACCCACGTATAATAACGGAATTAGAGTATCCCACGAGCCCCTCAAATGCATCCAAGAAATTCCTGACCTAGTAGATAATTGAGGTCCAAGATCGTCGCAAGCACTCGCTCCTGCTGGGGGGTCGGCGGAATGGCGCAAATCACTTGCATGACACACCGCCGACACTTCGATCTTGGAAGAAGAGAACCCACAGAAAGGGAACCTGCAGAACAACCCAGACAAGCAGAGGTCAAGCCCACGGGCACGCGGCATGCCAAACGGCCGAGGCGCCCCCCCCCGGCCTGGACGTCGGCTTGCCATGCCCCCGCAGGGAACGTGTGGAAAGCGGTGTCCTTCAGGCTGCCCTCCGCGTGCTCCTCGTGGTCCGAGCCCGCATCCGATGCCCCTTCGAACTCTGGCATGAACTGTACTCCTCCACCACCGGCTGGTGCCCAAAGGAGGAGGCGCGGCAAGCATGCTCACTGAAATGAAACAGTTTGTCAATGAGCCCACTGAGCGCCAAATATGTAGCTCACTGATAGCAGCGAAATCCGCCACCGTGCCTCTGAAACGAAGTTGAGCGCCCCAGGGACCATGCAGCCCTGAGAGGCAGAGGGTTTGTATAGTTCTGAAGGGCCTGGACCCCCTGGTTCCTGGGCGCTCACGGGAATTTCCGGGAGCTCCCGGGAGCTCTTTGTTCTGCTGACCAGGAGGGTCCCCAAACGGGCCACGGAGGCCCTGGAAGGCCGCCCAGACGGTCCAAGAGGCCCGCAAGTCGCCCCATGATCGCTCCAAGGCGCCCAAGATGGCCTCAAGGAGGCCAAAGAAGCCTTCAAGAAGCTCCAAGGGGGCCCCAAACGCACCCCTGAGAGGGTCCCAAGAGGCACACGTCAATTGTTGTTCTAAGGTTTTTGACTGATTTTGGCGTTCTCGCCTTTTCGGCTTCCCCACGCTCCAAGACGGCCCAAGATGGAGGCCATTGGATGTTGAAGCGAACACAGCATTGCTTTCAGAAGTGTCTTCTTCCAATGCTTGTTCACACTATGCATTCTGATGTCAGATGTGTTTGGTTTAGGTGGGCTGGTAGCCGCATGCCCTTCACGGCCCATCGCCTGGTAGCGGCCATAGGATGGTCCAAAATCAACAAAAACTTGTTCTCGGGTTTGGTCGACGCGGCTTCCTTGGATCGGCACTCCGCAATCCAGGCTTCAAACCAGAACTCCAAACTCCGGACCTTCGCTGTCCCAGCCAAAGGACTGGTGTACGACTGCTCCAAGACAGGCGCCGAGCTGCCCGACAGAGGCCTTCGGGGAGAATGCGGCGGTGCCCCAGACAGGTGCCTCAATGGGGCCGCCGAGAGGCACCGAGGAAGCCTTTCGGTTGGCGTCCTGCTGGCAACGACGGGGCGGAACGAAGCAAACTAAAGTACAGAAGAGAACACTGGAGGAAGGAGCACAGGGGGCGCCTGGGAAACACACATGGAGCCGCGTTCGTGTACCTGTGCCCGCCCCCCCAGGCGCCACTGACTCACCCAGGGCGTCTAATCTGTGACATGAGGAGGGAAATCGCACAGGGCATCCGTGACTGTGAGTGTGGCGTTGTCATGTACACAACGCAGGCCTGCGTCCTCTCCGATCCAGCGCGCCCGAAACATAATCAAATATCGATGTGGGAAGTAAGCTGCTCCATGAGGACATGCTTTTTGGAGAGGAGGTGGGAGCGCGACCACATAACTTGACACAACTCGACCTCACCCGCTGTGCGAATCAACAGGTCGCCAAGCAGAAGGAAACCCCACGCAAGCCGACCTGCGATGGACGAGCACAATGCTCCGCTCATTGCGCTCTGGAACTTCGGCCCTCGAACGTCTCCAGGAAGAGAAGTATTGGCCATTCTCTGAACGGCCCTCCTGCCGTCTCCCTCCGCCCCTCCAGGCTTTCCTCCATGCCATACAGGCATGGGCTCCCGACGGAACGGGCCTCTACTCGTCCCTCTCCTCCAGAATGCCACCTACCTCTGGCCAAGGAACTTGGATGAGGAATCATCGCAAAAGGGCTCCAGATCCTCAGATAAAAGCTGGCTAACTTCCTGATCTTCGGCCACTTTCCAAGAGGGCCGAGGATCCAGGCGCATCGGAGGATCGATGCTTAGTTTTTGAATTTGGAGGATTCGGGCCAACCCCGTAGATTCGAAGCGGACGAACAACAAGGAGAGAACGATGATAACGAAGGGGGTTAGCGAATCAGCTGCACTGCGCTTTCCCGTTGCCTGCTGGCGCAGCGTATCGGGGAAGGAACATCCCTGGGAGTCATCGGATATCTGAGTGTCAGCCCCCTCCTCGCCATTTCGCCCACCCGAATCTGGGAGCGGACGGGCGAGCGGGGACGCTCTGCGACCACCGGTTCAGCTCTATCTCGTCCCGCAGGTGGCCCTCGCCGAAGCCGTCGCCAGCGGCCGGGCTCGGGACCTCGTGGGCGCGCGCGCGCCTGATTCTGCCTGCCCCACCACACGCACCATCATCAACCTCGTCGTCGTCGTCGTCGTCGTCGTCGTCGTCATCGCGAGCGTCATAATCATCACCACCAGCATAAGTGTCCTTTGTCTTCCGTCTGGGAACGGACATTCCCCGACGATCGAGCGCGGTCCTTGCTTCCCTATCCTAGCTCACGGGGTCCTCACGTATGGATCTTGTAGATGGGCGAACTTTTGGCGAACGTATGATGGCTTGTCTGTCCAGTAGACATGTAACTGGATAAAGATACGCGGGCGCTGAGATAGAGGCGTGCGCCAGAATTTTCCGCTGAGAAGCAAGCCGCACCTCCCCCTGTTCCAGCTCGAACCCGATGCGCGATGTTACGCACACGTGCTCATTCAACAGAGAGGCGGAAAGATCGACGGTAGTTAACGACTCCCCCCGCGGCGGCCTCCGGAACCACATCGCCCCACTCGCCAGCCTCGCCAGGGGGCGCCAACCCTGAAACCAGTTTTAAAGCACCCCCCGTGCAGGTGAAGGCTCAGTTGCTCGACGTAGCCCTGTATTCCATCGGTAGGGCCTGCAGGCGCTTCTGGCCGCCCCAGGGTGACGCTTCGACCTCGTTCGCCGCGAGGTGCCTTCCCAGCCTCGACTCGCGTTCCAGGAGCTGCCCAGGTCACTGACTACTCCCATAATTCCAGGTTCCTTCGTTGCCATCATGACGGCCCTGCCGCCCATCGCCAGTCGACCTTCCGCCAGAGCTTCCGCCGCTGTTCCCGCTGGTCCACCAAGGCCTCGCACTTTTTCCCGGATGGGATAAAGCGTCTCTGTTACCTCGGACACCGACATATCGCTCGTCCTTGCACTCACCCCTGCCAGAGAAGTGGCGCTCTCTGGAGGGATTTGATGGGAAGTGCCCCAGATGCTCTGGCCAGCTCTAGACACTCACTCGTGAGAACTGCGCCACCAGGCGCCAAGAGAGTCTGGTAATTGGCGCAGGTTCTAGCGTCAGAAACTACCACCACTGCAGCTGGGCTGATTCGCCCACACGCAGGTTCAGGCGTTCGTCGAAGTCGAATTCTCCGACCGTCGCGAAGCTGCTCTCGCTGCTTGGTCCTCGGCAGCCTTCAGCTCAGCCCTCGCCTGGTTAATGACAGACAGTTCGTGATGACCAGATTGCACTCGACGGATCTGCGCCTCGAACTGTCAAATCGATCGCTGCCTCCTATCAATGCGCAGCTTCTCGCGCGGTTTGTCCCAATCCAACGCAGTCGTGTCTTGCTTGCTCAGCGCTCTCGCCACTCGAATGATTGATGTTGGACTCTCTGCAGGTGCCCAGAGAGCTCGTTGTGTGCTGGCCAATTACAGGCACCCGATCTCCACTGGCAGCGACGAACCGCGTGCCAGGAGCAGTAGGCCTTAGGATCCCAGAATCTCTCCCCGAATCACATCCGGCGCACGCTGGGCGCGCCCGACCTGGCGACAGATGCCATTATCCTGGTCCTCTCCCGCGCTGGTGAATACCAGACGCTCCCCGATGTCAATTCTTGTTCGAAGCTTCGTGCCGAAGTGCGCGAAGGGCCCCTGTAGCACTTCAGAGGTCAGGTGAGTCCTTGCATCGCGCTGGTCTCCTGTTTGCTGCGATCTGCCCAGACGAGCGGCGTCGACAGAAGGTGGCGCGGGGCCGGCGGCAAAACCACCTTGACACATGTTCAACACCAGGATTCCGCAGTCCGCCTCCTCATCATCTACCATTGTGACCTCGGACCGAGGTGTCTGTGACGGCGCAGGCCGACGTCACTTCGCCATGGCAGGGCCTTCAGACTCCCGCTTTTCTCTTCTCTTCCTTCGTCGTCTCTTGTCGGCCCTGGGCCGATTTACTCGACTCGGGCGTGTCTGACGGCGCCGGCACCTTATGCACGTCGCCCTTGCCTCCTTCAATAGGGTCGCCGCGACCAACGGAAAAGGCGCAGTGACCCGTCGTTCCCGCTTCAGGATCATCGGGTTCAACCTCGGTGACATAAGATATAATAATTTCTATCTAAATCAAAGCATGGCGCAACATTGCGATATGCGTCCCATGCGCCGCTACATGCGCCCACGACGGTGCCTTCTCATGCCGTCTCGCGAAGACAATGCCCCTGTCTCTGCCCGAGAGGATTCATTTTTTCTTTTGGCCTGGCAAGAAGATGGCTGCGTTCTCCTTGCGTTGATCGGGAGATAATGGGCACGTCCGACCCTTCGCTCTGAATGCCCAAGAGATTCCACTCCATCGGGTGCGCGTTCGAAATCACGGAATTCTTTCCTCGGCGTGAGCAGCGCCTCGTACGCTTCATATCCCACACCCCAGACTAGGGTCTTCCTGACAAAATCACTATGAGATCCGTCTGGCTTCTCACTGTCACTCCAGTTGTTCTGACACTTCGCGTTGCATCTTCTGTAGTGCTCGCCAGGGCGCACTGTGTCGGATTCCATCGAGGGTGTGTCTTGCTCTCCTCTTCTAACTCTGGGGATCCCTTCGTACGCATCTCGTAGATTGGTGAACCCTTCGAGGCTTCGAGCCGCATGGCAACAATGTTTGTCCACTTCTCATATCCAGAAGTTGTGGATGGTGATTGGCGCGCGCTAAAAGGAAGAGCGCGCATCCTTTCGTCACTATAGCGCAAGCCGCGCCCTCCCCGCACAGTTGCCACCCGGACCTCATGCGCGATATTACGCACACGTGCCCATTCGAAAGAAAGGCAAGGGGAACGACGGTAACGCCTTCTTCGCCCTCATCATCAACAAATCACTACCATAGTCAGCACCGCCCAGGTCGCCATCGCCACCGTCACCGTCGTCCATCGCCATCTTCCTCGTCGTGATCATTCTCAATTCGGACTCGAAGAGCACCGCATTGGGGCGCACCGAACCCGAGCTTGAAACGCCGCACCTTGGGTCTAGCGTGCCGCGGCGCACGTTCAGAGCTGTGGAGACTCGGCAGCATCTGAGCAGGGGGGCCCGTGGAAAAACCGAAAGCGGCCCCCAACAACAAGATGCTGCAAACATGCCCATGGCACATATCAAACAATGCCTGCCCTGGGCGGGTGCCGATGGATCTGGTGAGTCTCTCCATCGTTGCTAGGAATGTATTGCGCCCCGGTCTTCTCCCCAACAGATCACGGTCCTGCCCTGAGTTGCCGAAGTTCCTTCGCCTAGCGCTGTCCTCGACTGTCCCCATTCCTGGTGCTGCATTTCGTCTGCGCTCAGCAACACGTATGGCTGTGCCCAAACCTGACAATATCCCGCGTCACTGCACAGTTCCTGAACTCCGCAATGTCCCCGGATGCCCCTGGTCCTGATGCTGTCCGACGTCGCAGGGGAGTTGCTGCGCTTTGCCTTGTGCCCGATCGCCTTACTCCCACCAGCCCTCTCGGCGGAGGTGGTTCAACTATGTTGTTTATTTTTCCCCCTCCTTCCCCTGCTCGGTGGCTACGCCTCCCCGGGGCCTAGGAGGGGGGGACGGAGCGGTCAAAACGTCCAACATGGCCTAACATCGCCCCAATAATACCTCTGAAAGTCCCAGGTGGCCTCCAAGATGGTTCAAGCAAACCCAAGATGGCTCTAGACAACCTCCGACAAGCCTCCAAGAGGACCTGGGGCAGACCCGAGACGGTTGCAAGGCCCTCCGAGATTGAGAAGGGTTGGGAGGCCCAACCAGCAGCTTCGCCTTAGGCGAAACTCAGCTCCAGATCTGTCGTACCGTAGCAGCGATAGTTTCAGTAGTAGGAGATCGTCGCGGGAGCGACGAGCCAATCCAAGCAAAGGATGTTTTGGTCCCGATGGCAAATGGTACAAGTCGCGGTGAGGTGTAGTCAGATCTGGGCGGCCGGCCGCTTGAGCACAGACGGCCGCGGACACACGCTCGTTACCTCTCGCCTGTATCCCAACTCACTTTCGAGTCAGGGGGGGAGGAAAACGAAACGTGAGCCCGCCGCTTCTATACAGCAGATACAGCAGTTACTATGCACAAGAGGGCAATACAAGGGAAGGGCCGTAAGGAAGATGGACCCGCACGCAAGTTGCTTTGCCTGCGCGTTACTGTGCGCACGATTATTCCTCAGGCGGCCGCAGACCAGGATGTCCGGCCAGCCCGATAAGGATCATGACGCTTTAACTCATGCTTGAAGGACTGCGTACCTCCCATGACCTGTAGGATCAAAGGGACCTTGATGCTCAGGCCACCCAACTCAAGTACGTTTGTCAACTGAGTGGGAGTCAGCGGTCCTGCATGGAGCTCGTGCAGGGTCACGATCGTGGGGCGGGCGAGGCTTGAACCAAGAACCAACTAGCCGGCGGAGGGAAGAGAGGACGAGGGAAGGCGGGAGAAGGACGGAGCAAGCAGCGCTATATTCAAAACGAGAACCCAACCAAAGGGGGTTGGGAATCATGGGTTATCGCGTACTGGTGTGAGCCAGGTCCTCCAATGATGCCGCCGAACAAATCCGCCGACCCTGTCGGCGTGTGGAAGATGCTTTTCCGTTCGTCGTGAACGTCGTCGTCGTCGTCGTCGCCGCCGTCGTCGTCGTCGTCGTCGCCGCCGTCGTCGTCGTCGTCGCCGTCGTCGTCGTCGTCGTCGTCGTCGTCGTCGATGCTCTTCCGTTCGTCGTCGTCGTCGTCGTCGTCGTCGCCCTCCCCTCAGGCGCGCCAGCCAAAGCGAAACCAAAGCGAAATCGAGCAACGTCGTAGCTAAGTCGAAGGCAAAGCGAAATTGAGCAACGTCGTAGCTGAGTCGAAGGGGAGCCCCTTCCCTTTGATCCCTTCCCCGCCGGGGGGGAGGGGGGGTCCCGGGGGGGGTCCCGGGGAGGGGGGGGGGGGGCAGATACGCATCCCCCCCGGGATGTCCCGGGACCTAGAAAAGCCCCCAGACTGGCCAAGAGTGCCCCAAGAGGCTTCCAAGACGGCTCCAGAGGGCCCCGAATCGCCGAACCATCGGTCGAAGACGCCAAAGTAGCCTCCAGACGGCCCAAGAGATTGCCAAGACGCTCCAAGAAGTCTCCAAGAGCACTCCCAAGAGGGCACGAAGAGGGAAAAATCAATGATTTCCTTAAAGTTTTTGACAGATTTTGGCGTTCTCGCCGTTTCAACTTGCCGACGCTCCAAGACGGCCCCAGATGCCCCCAAGATTGCCCCAAGATAGCCCAAGAGGCCTCAAGAGAGCCCCAAAATGACCCAAGAAAGCCTCAAGACCGCCCAAGATGCCTCCAAGATGGCCCCAGAGGCTCCCCAAACGGCTCCAACAGGGTGCCGAGACGGGGGGCCCGACGAGCCCTCGGCGACAGAAGCTCCCAGGAAGCCTCAAGATGCCCCCAAGAGGCCACCACGAGACCCCCAAGAGGCCCCCAGGAAGCCCCAAGAGGCCCACAGGAGCTTCCCAACACGTTCCCAAGAGGCTCCAAAGAGGCTCCCAAGATGCTCCCAAGAGGCCCCAAAACTAGCATTCAGAGGGCCCCCGAGAGCGCTCCGAAGAGACTCAAAAAGCATCCCTGAGGACTCTGACCCACGTCAACATCGTCGTCGTCGTCGTCGTCGCCGCCGCCGCCGTCGTCGTCGTCGTCGTCGTCGTCGTCGTCGTCGTCGTCGGGTGGCCCCGCCAGCTGCCCGTGGAAACGCGCGGGCACCGTCCGCAGCAGGGACCCGTGCACCCCCCGCTCGACCAGCGTTCTGACCATCTTCGGGCTGTGATCCTCCTCCTCTTCCTCCTCCTCCTCCTTATCTCCGCCTCCTTCTCCTCCTCCTCCTCCTCCTTCTCCTCCTCCTCCTCCTCCTCCTGGTCGTCGTCGATGTCCTTCAGGGTCGGCGGCACCGGCCGTCAGGCCTTCACAATTAACCCCCTATTGGGGGGGGTCTACAGACTCATCGCGGTTAACATGAATATCACCAGCTTCAACATTTCGCATCCGTGGAACGTTTGGGCGGCACCGTAGCCAAATCCGCGGACCCCCGCGTGCCGGGGGTGAGAAGGCGTGTGTGATGACTGGCTGCCCCCCCTCCCCCTTCCCCCTCTCCCAGGGTCCAAAACGAAGTTTAAAAGGGGTTTGGGGGGGTATCCAAGCTCCTCGGCGCACGCCTGGAGACTCCGGAGCTTCCAAATCTGCCTCCCGTGGCCTCAGAGACGTCCAAAACCGGTCCCGAATAACCGAACGACTGGCCCAAGACGCCGACGATGGCTCCAAGACGCCCCGCGACGCCTTCGAGACGCCCCGAGAGAGGCCCAAGTGCCTTCCCAAGAGGACCCCGAGATGCGAGAGAACGCGTTTCACGGGCGCTCGCGTTGGGAACATTCGGCGGCGCGTTTGAAACCGGGGGGGGGCCCCCCCCTACACTCGTCGCCGTCGATCAAAACCAGGGGGACCCCCCTCCCCCCCAACCCCCCCCCTTCCCGAACTCCCCCCCCATCCCAAGAGGAGGTGAGGGCGGGTTCAAAACCCCCCCCACACCCCCCCGTTCGGCGTCGGCGCCGGCGCTGGCGGCCGCCAGCAGCGCCCACGGCGGGGACGCAGCGACGATGCCCAGAGGCAGCCCAGGGGGGGGGAGTCAAACCCCCCCCCCTCGGCGCCAGCGCTGGCGGCGGCCAGCAGCGCTGGCGCTGGCGCCGGCGACGGCGGGGACGCAGCGACGATTACCACCACTACCACCACCACCACTACTACCACTACCACCACCACCGCCACAACCCACCACAACCACCACCAACAACAACAGCACCGCACAACTTCCACCACCACCACCACAGCCACCACCAACACCACGACCACCACAACTCACGATCACCACAACCACCACAAAAAACCCACCACCACTACCACCACCACCACCACCACAATCTACCACACCACCACCACCACCGCCACCACCACAACCACCACCAGCAGCAAAACCCAACGCCACCACCACAAACCAGCACACCACCACCACCACCGCCACCACCACCACCACAACAAACGTCCACAAACCACCGCCACCACCACAACTCACCACCACCACCACCACAAACCACCACCACACCACCACAACCATCACCACCACACTCTCACCATGACCACCACAAAAATCACCACCACTACGACCACCACCACAATCTACCACACCACCACCACCGCCACCACCACAACCACCACCTCCACAAACCACCACCACAACCACAACCCACCACCACCACCACAACAAACCACCACCACACTACCACCAAACCACCACCTCCACCACAACCCACCACCACCACCACCACAAACCACCACCAAACCACCACCACAACCCACCGCCAGAATCACGACCACCACAACAAACCACCACACCACCACCATCACAACCACCACCACCGCCACCACCACCACCACAATCCACCACCATCACCCACCACCACCGTCGTCCTCGTCGACGCTCCCCGCCACCGCCGCCCGCCGCCGCAGGCGCCGGCGCCGGCCAAGAAATGGAAATTGTCGTCCCCGCCGCAGTTGCCAGCCGCCGCCGACCCCAGCGCAGCGCCGGCCCGAGGAGAGGGGGAAGCAGGGGGGTTCGAACCCCCCCCCCTCCGTCACGAGGGGGGGGGGTTCGAACCCCCCCTCCCCCTCCGTTACGGGAGGAGGGGGGAGGGTTCGAATCCCCCCCCTCCATCCAAGGGGGGGGGTCCGGTTCCAACCCCCCCCCCTCCAAGCGACCACAGAACGCGTTCTTTCCGAGATGCACAAATCTGTGGTTTCCCTTGGGTGTTCAAATTTGTATGGAGTTATCGTCTTCTCAAACTTCAGACGCTCCTAGACGGCCCAAGAGGCCCCGTAGACCGCCCCAACACTACCCAAAAGGCCATTACGAGGGCCTGAGGAGGGCTCAAGAGGGTTCCAAGACGGCCCAAAGAGGGGCCCAAGACTGTCAAAGATCGCCCGACGGAGGCTCGAAGAGAGGCCAAGAGAGAGGAAACCAACCGAAAGTCCAATCTTCTCGCCCCAAGAGGCCTCCCGAAAGCCCCAAGAAGTCCCCAAGCGGCTCCCCGCCTCTTCTGGGGATCGGAGGGCTGGCGTAAGCCTCTTGAACATTACTTTGCGGTAGTACAGAACTTGACAGCAGGTGGGAATGTCCGCAACCGTGCCCTTGGCACGAAGTGGAGTGCCCCAAGTCTGAAAGCAGTGTCCTGGAGCATATATGCCTGCTCCTTCGGTTTCGTGGGGCCGATCCCTTGACTAGGAAAGGTGGCCTGGTGGGGCTGAGGTGCAATGTCCCCGTGAGGATGGGGGTGGGTGGCCCGTCAGTCGGAGAAAGTAGGTGGAAACATCAAGTACGAAGGAATAAAGCGGATTGGGTTCGGGCCCGCCCACATGACAACAGCAAACAGAAAACACCCATCCGTTCTTGAAGCAGGAAGGCGCTTGAAGTAGTTTCGGATCTGGATGCCCCTGAACACCAACTTTCAACGACAGACGTGTGTAACCGGGGATAGTTCGACACCTGTCCCAGGCTTCGTGGGGTTTTCGAGCGGACCAAATAACTATTCAGGGCCCAACCCTGTGACATACGATGGGGGGGTGTCCATCCTCGACAGGGGTGCGTCCGAATAGCCCCCTTGGGATGCACCCCATGGTTCTCCAATTTTTACGAGCGGCCACACTTCTCGGGTGGAACTCAGGGATTAGCGGACAATATCGCCTGCGAGCGTAGACGATGCCAGTGCCCCCGTCCCCCGAGTGGCTTCGTGCCAGGCTCCGGCGACTGCGACGGGGAGCGGCGCCAGATGGGCCCCCGCGGCCTCGCGTCCGTCTTCGGCGACCGCGGGCAGCGCTCGCGACAGCGCCGCGCCGGGGACGGCGCAGCCACCGAGCGCCCACACGAGCAGGACGGCCCAGCAGCTGGGCGTGCGGCGGGGAGGAGACATGCTGGGTATGTTTTCCACCACCACCACCACCATAAGTTGGAGGGGGGATGGAGGTGGAGGACGAGGAGGAGGAGGAGGAGGAGGAGGAGGAGGAGGAGAAGGAGGAGCCCGTCCCCCTCCAACTTATGGTGGTGGTGGAAAACATGCCCATCAAGACAGGTGGGGGGAGGGAAGGTCGGGAAGAGGGCGAGGGAGAGAGGCAATGAGAAGGAATCTAAGTTTTCCGTTTTCTGTCCGCTTCCTCTCCTCGACTGTCGGTCTGTCTGTCGCTTCTACCGTTGTACTGCATCCCCGCCAGCATGTGACTCCGTGAGCGGTGATCCAAGAGTCGCCTGGCTGCAATTCGATCATCCCCCCAGGGCCGAGTGGCCCTGGGGGGGCTTCGTCTGAACGCCCATTCTGCCGACAGGAATCAGGAGTCACTGGGAGGGAACAACATTCCCCTCGCCCTTCTCAAAATGCACATGGCGGTCCCAGACCTGCGCACCCTCACAGAAGGATCAGCCGACATGGTGGTGCACATCTGAGACCCGTGGCCAACTTACAGCCACTGCTCGCACGTGCATTCCTTTAGGCACTTCGATGCAGCATGATACGAACAACACAGCTCGTCTCTTCAATGCCCGTCTCAATACGCTTGCCAATCAGCCTGCGTACGTTTACCAATATGCATCAGCATGTCCACGGGCATACGGGCGCGAAAATAATCAAAATGCGGATGCACTCGCCAACGTCGCTTGCAATGTAGGCTCTTCTTACGTGGTCGATGAGGCATCGGTTTTGAGTGCGAGTGCTCTGGTACTTGCCAAGCCTTCCACGAGCGAGGTCAAGCCCGCAGCCTTAGCTGCCTGTGCATGCAACGCTTCCCCGACGTCCCGCCCATGCCTGCCAGCCCCTGCCGTGCTTAGACTTCTGCCGCGAACGTCGGCCCTCGCCCACGGGGCCCCGCCCCGAACTGCTTAAGTGGGAGCTGGACTCCCCTGGCAGCTGCGCAGGGCCCCGCCGACAGGGCCCCGCCCACGGCTGCGAGCTGGGCGCCCGTGGCTACAGAGGGGCAAACCCGTGCTTGGCGATGCCGCGGGGCCGCCGCGCACGCGCTCCGCCTTGAGCTGGCTCCGAGTGAGGAAGCGCGGGGGGGGGGGGGGGCAGACTGGTGGACGGGGAGGATGCCAGGGCGGCGGTAAGAGAGGGGAGGAGCGCGGAGAGAGGAGGACAGCGATAAGGAGCAGGGGGACAGGGAGGCAGGGAGACCGAGGAGGGGATAAGCTGAGGCTCGCACATCCCCAGGACGGCAATTTTACGTCTCGGACAAACGCGTATGGGATAACCGCGCGGATCCAATGAAACTCGCTTGGGTCCAATTGGCTTTGATTTCTCTTTCGGTGGATCGGATGTCCGTCCGCACGGATCCGACTTCGGAATGTCTGGATCCGCGTCCGGCCCTATTTTCTACGGCGGGTCCGAATTCTACCCCGTGGTAAATTCAACTCATTCGGGTTAAATTCAAACGGGGAACCACAAGAAATCGGATCCGCGGTCTAAGCAACCCGCCAGTGTTAAGATTCTACGAAGGAGGAACCTTCGATCATCAACTTCCCAGGATGCGTCCTGCCTGCGCTGTCTCGCGTACTCCCATCAACTTTCCGCGCGCGGGCCCCACTCAACATGAGTACATGTCTCCACGCAGCTCGTCCAGACGCCATCCGTTCGGCGGCGCGGGTTTAGTTCGCGAATTCGTCATCGCCAATTCCACCTTAAAAAGAAAGTCTTTCGTCCTGCGTAAGTGGGCCACAACAGGAGGATGAAGAGAGAACGGGGAGACGGAGAGGAGGCGGAAGCGGCGAAAGAGGATGGCAACAAAACGATGGGGAGGAACCCGACGAGTTGACCAGGCCCCAGGCTGTGCAGAAGGCACCTATTCGTCACCACAAGGCCTGGCCAAGTCCATCCGGGGGCCTGACATGGCGCAAACGGATCATCTACACGTACACAAGGCCATCCACGGCGTCAACCGAAAACCAAAGAAATGCGCAACGGCGCGGCAATGACACAACAACTAGCCGAACCAGGCCGACCGAACGCGACCGACTGCCAGACGAACCGACTGAACGGCCCGAGCAACCTTTTGCACACCACCATGCTACTAAGGCCCTACATGGCCCTGTGTGTAAAAGCCTTCTGCGGAAGGGCAGCGTACCGCATGCCGCCCCCAAGGGCGTCCGAAAGACGAGCGGGCGCGCGCGGGCGGGCGGGCCCACGGGCGTCATCTGGCGACCGAGCAGCCATGCAGCCAGCGCCCCTGCGACGAGGGGGGCAAGCAAGATCAGTCGGCATCGAAGTGGTAACTCGGATCGAATCGAAATGTGCATTGGATCGGGCTGCATCGGCACGGAATCAAAATCGGACCGGCTCGGCTGCGCCAGGGTGCGCAACAGCGCCGTGCAAACATTAAGCAGCATCGGATCGACGAATATCCGAATCACATTGGGTCGGGCCGACCAGGATCGCCATCGATCGATCGGATCGAAATGGACCCTGGAGGGGGAGAGGGAGGAGGAAGATGAGACGGAAGAGGGGGATGAATGAGGAGAAGGGGCGGATGGGGGGGAGGGGGAAGAGGGAGAGGACGCCGGGAGGAGGATCAAGGGCGCTCGTGGGCGCCCCGTACGCCGGGTGGGTCGGACGAGGTTGCGCCACTGTGCCGACAGTGCCGCCTCGTGGGCGCCCTGTGCGTTGGGTGGGTCGGCCGACGTTGAGCCGCGTTGCCATCCGTACCGCCTCGTGGGCGCTCGCGGGTCGGGCGAGGTCGCGCCACGTTGCCGCCTGTGCCATCCTGTATGTGCCCCGTGCGCTGAGCTTGCACCACGTAGCATGTACCACATAGCTTTCGCGACATAGCTTACACCACATAGGCTAAATCACATATCGTACACTTCCTACATCACAATACTACATAACTTACACCAGATAGATCACACGGAATAGCTTACGCCACATATGTCGCATCGCGTAGCTGTCACCTCCATAGCACACAACACAGTAATTACAGGGCACCGCTTACACCACATAGCTTGAAACCCATAGCTCCCACCTCCACAGCGCAATGACTCTCTGTTTGGGGCCCACGCTGGCTAACTTGTGTTAGGAAATATTCGGGGATATACGAGAGGATGGCATCGTTCCTCGGTACGGGTACGTCTGGGCAGCCCACTGAGGGTGCATCGCTGAGTTTCCCCTGCCCAACCCTTGGCCGTCCCGCGGACCCACCGAACCAGGGGAGAGTGGCTGGTGATCAGGGTTGCCGAGCAGCCCGGTAGGAGTCAGAGGAGAAGGAGGCAGAGCCAGGAGTTCGACGGTCGAACTTGGCCTTGTCTCGCCCTTCTTGAACTCCTCGTTGCCACGGCCTGACACGTGTAGGGAAAAACTCGGGGATTGGGGGGCGAAGAACCGCATGCGACCAGACGTCCGCAACAGCGGAACAGACACGCCGCGTCTGCCTCGGGGAGCCCAAGGAGCAGAGGCAGGAGGAGATGGAGGAGGTGGTAGAGGGAGAGGAGAAGGTGGAAGAGGAGACGGAGGTGAAGGAGATAGGGGAGGAGGACGAGGAGGTGGAGGTGGAGTGCGAGAAACCGCCTGCGACCTCAGGGGTCGGACCGAGGAGGGCGCGCAGCTGGGCGTCGCGGCACGGAGCGGCGGCAGCGGAAAGAGGCCCGGAGGCCTCGCGCGCGGCCTGCGCCCGTGCGGCCGCGGGGTAAAGTAAATGTACGGGATCCGCGGTCGGTGGGCCGACCTCTCCTCCTCCTCCTCCTCCTCCTCCTCCTCCTCCTCCTCCTCCTCCTCCTCCTCCTCCTCCTCCTCCTCCTCCTCCTCCCCTCCCCCCGTGGGGCTGCGGGAGCCCAGGATGGAAGGCCATCCTAGACCTCCTCGCGGGCGGTGGCTCTGCTGGAGGGGGGGGGGGGGGGGCAAACGGACCCGGGAGGAGGTGGCGGTCTAGGCCTGGTCAGAGCTTCTCCTCGAGGGGGAAATCCCTGAGCAAGCCTGCCCCCCCCTCCCCTCCTGCTTGGTCCGGTTCGGGCTCCCTGTCCCCTGACATGCTGGTGGTGCTGCTGCCGCCTACCCTCCCTCCGACACTCGACACCCCAGGCCTCGAGAGGGCGGCCGCTCTCCTGCCACGACGGGGTCTTGACAGCCTTGCCCATGCTTTCTGTCGCCGTGGGGCTGGGTCGATCCTGAACGTCTCCACTCGTTGGAAGCTCCCGACGACTTGTTCGTCGAGGAGAGGAGGGCGCGACCACACGCTGTCAGCGAAGCCCATCGCCAAATCTTCCTGGCGCCGCAGTAGTTGCCGAGATTCCTGCAAGACTCTTTCGAGGGCGCTCCGGTTGCCGCTCTGAGGGCGCTCCAGCAAACACTGGAACGATGCATCCTCATCGGGGGCTTCAGTGACCGGTGCTGGATGGGGAGAAAAACAAGGACCATGATCAAGAGTGAGCGCAAAAACTAGTGCCAATATTTGTCACCGTCCATCTTGGTCAGCATCAATTCGCGCACAATCCTCGCGAATCCGCGACGGCAAGCATGGACCATGACCAAGATCGGTATCGACAAGATCCAGCGACATCTTGGTCGTGGTCCCCGTGCTTCTCCCTCGGGATGAGAGGGCCAGGGGCCGCACCATCCAAAGAGGACACGAGGTCCGCCGACGCGGCTGGCTCAGGCTGGCCTCTAGCGGGTCTTTTAACTCCTGAACTCCCTCCTCTTATAAAGAAGAACCAACGCCATAGACATAAACTTTGGCGCTCCGCGCGGATTTCTTGGATCCGCGCTGGACCCCGCTCCCTGGCGCGCGGAGCGCGCCAGGGGCGGCGCCAGAGGCGCCGCTGGGGGGGGTCCCAGCCGGATCCAAGAAATCCACGCGGAGCGCCCAACAATTTATGTTTATGGCGTTTTCTCTTCTTCGATCTTATGCCTCCACGCCTCCACCCTAAACAGTGTGCTGCTCAACCGAACTTGCTCAATGGGCCCTTTCCCTGATCCGTGCTTCGGCACCCGTCGGTCAGAAGAAAGGGGGAACAACATGAAGTGGGGAGGCAGTGGGAGAAGATTGGGCTTGCGTCCGCCCCCTTGAAAAGGAGGAAGAGGGAAAACCGCACGACTCTTGAAGTAGGACGGCGCTTAAAGTATATTAGAATCTGGGCATCCCAGGATACCTACTTTCAATGACTGGTGTGTGCGGATCGTCTGCGTGCCTCGTCTCCGTCGTCGCGGTCGGAATCGTCGTGGTCTTGGTGCGTGTTGCTCTGCTCGGGACTTATTCCCCTTATGTCACCCATCTGCCTCGGCGGTGTTTGGCGATCTTTGCCGGTCTTCGGCGGTTTCCTCGGCGGTTTCCCGCGGTCGTCGGCGGTTTCCCGCGGTCTTCGGCGTAAGAACTGGATGCGTGCGTTTAGCAAGGGGTCCCTGTTCGAACGCCGAATAAAGCGTATCATTGCCATGATTTCGAGGAAGACCACGCCGTGGCGACGAGGTCCCTCCCAAGAAATGCGAATCGTATCAACATGCCCGCCCGCGGGCCTCCGATGTCTTGAGCTTGTTGGGTGCGCGGGCCCCGGTGCTCTTGACACCTTCCCCGAGACCGGCCTGGGGAACTGGCCCTCGAACCCCGACAAATTCAATACTGTAAACTTCGCCTTGATTCTTTCAATGCATCGGAAGTCTTGGCACGTCAAAGATCTGTTAAAATATCAAAAGATTGGCCCCTGAGGAACCCCCAAACCGGATCTCAATAAAACTTGCGGCTTCAGCCTCACCGCCAGCCCAACCGACGAGCATTAATCGGGCGCAGCCCAACAGAACCTGCCCGTGGGTGCGCTACACATTGGTTGCGCCACCCATGGGTTGCGCCATGTCCGTCCATATTTGCAAGATCCACACGGGTTGTGCCATCCACTTTTGCTCGGTCCTCGAATCTCCTCGATCCTCGATCACCTGCATCGCCCCCTCCTCCTTACTGTCACCTGGAGGTCTCCAGGAGCCTCCGGAAGCCCCCCTGAGCGACCAGCAGCGTCCAACAACTTACATCCTCGAACCTCATCGACCCTCGAGGGTTGATGGGTGCGCGCCATGGTTGTCGCCGCCGCGTCGGCACGACACGAGCCATCCGTACAGGTGTCGGAAACAATTTAACAACACTCACGCGTAGCATGATGAGAGACCCCCCCTCCCGCAAACGATGAGGGGTTCGGATCTTCCGAGCTTGAGTGTCTGACCCGTGATGCGTAAACGTGCCAGTCTTAAATGGCGGGGGGAGGGGGGAGTTGCTTCATGTTTCCCTCAGCAGTATGTCCATGCCGCTTGTCCTCCCTGCCGACCCTCCTCTGCCCTCCACAGAAGGCAGACCGACCGCGGCCGCAAGATGGGCAGGGGCCCCGGAGGCGCCCCCCCCTGAGCATGGCGCCGCGGCGGCGTGCGCCAAGTCGGAGAAGAAAGCAGGAAGGAAAGCACCAGCTGGAGGCCACAACGATCCCTGCAACTGTCGCGGCGGCTCAAAGGGTGACCGCGATGACGCCGCCTCCGTCGGGGCCAGTCGCGTCCCCCTGCAGGCCCGCCCGCAAAATGACGGCCCACCGGCGAGGCGGAGAGGGAGGGAGGGATGCAAGCAGGCGGCCGCACGTGCACCCTGCCCCTGCGAATCGGGCCTGTCAGCAGCCCGCCGGGCCTCGCAGGTCGAAGGATGACTGCAGCCAGGCGAGCCACGGTGGGGGTGTTGGATACCCCAATCGTCGGTCGGGCCCGTGGAGGCAGGGCCCGCAAGTGGGCGCAGACCGAAGAAGCAAACGCTGCGCACGCCTGCGCTCTCGGAGGTCCGCGGCGCCGAGTTCCTGGCTCGGGACTGGGCCTCCTCCCTGGAGCGCGGAGCGCGTCAGGGGCGGCGCCGGAGGTACCACCAGGGGGGTCCAGCGCAGACCCAACAAACCTGCGCGGATATCCGAAAACTTCTGCCGCTTTTTCTTCTTAGCAACAAAAAAGGTTCGAGGAAAGGGAAGTAGGAGGTTCGGTGTTGCTTGCCTCGGAAGCACCCCGCAGGTGAACGGCCACGGAGGGAACGCCCTTCTCGACGGAGAGCGACGGTCTGGAGGGGGGAGGAGGAAGGAGGATCGAGGTTTGAATGAAGGATTGGAGGGGAGGAAGGAGGATCGCATGCAGCCCCCCCGCCCATTTCGGCAAATCCCTCACGCGCTTCGTGGCTTCGCAAGGAGCTCCACCGAAGGCCTCAGGGCCAGGGTATCGCATGTGATCCCCCCGCGAATTTCAGCACAGCCCTCACACGTGTCGCGGGCTCACGAAGGAAATCTCCCCTTGTCGCGACGGATTGCCTCTGAGGAGAAGGCCATATCTTGCGCTGCTCGCAATTCCTTTGGGTTGGGACCTTCGCCCGACTACGTATTTCTGCGGGTCACACGACCCATTCCTCGGCGTGATAGCTGCCGCACCTACTCGCGCCGCGAATAGAGGCAAGTCCTGGTGCGACGACCAACCACGCCCGATCCGCACAGCGCTCGTCGCAAACCCCGACGATACGACAAAAAGCACGACGGGATCTTGCCCATGTCAAGATCGGCCCGCACTTCCGCGACGAATTCTTGGATTGACAGCGCGAAGTATTTCTGCTCTCTGTGGCCCGCCTCGAGATCGACCGGGCGAGGCTTGCTTGAAGTTGCTCCGGCGGAAGTACGCATTGCAGGACAATTCGTTGTCTGGCGCGACGATCCACGCACCACTCGGTTTCCTCCATCCCTTGTGGACCTGCTTCTGGTTCATGAGTTTGCGACGGCTGGGGCGCCCAAGGTTTGTACTTACGGCGCAGCAGCATTCTGTTCGAGAGCCACATCGTAGCTTGCGGGCTGGCCATGTTCGCGCCGATCACCTGGTCCCACACATCGTGGCCCTCCAGAGGCGGGAACGAACCCTCTCCTTGAAAGATGTTCTGGTCTGGCTCACCTGGGGCCATAGGCAGCGGGGGCGCCGACAAGTCGTCCGACGCATCCACCTCAGCAGGGCGGCAGAAGGTCGGCACCAGTCCACGACATGCCTGGAAACGTTGATGAAAGTCCCTCTCACAGAGGTCGGGAGGACGTCTCCGTTCACGAATGCAGTGACCTGTAACGCCCCTCCCAACTAGTGTGCTTTCTCCACGCCCAAAACACTTGTTGCCATTGCCGCCGCCACTGTCCGCAGAGTAGATGATGAGCGTGCTGAGGACATGCCCTTTTTTCTGAGGGCCCTGACAAGCTCTCCTATCATCAGCCTGCGTCGGGTACCGTGCGAAGGAAGCCATCGGTGCAACTATGGCTGCCAGGCGGAAGCCGAAGGGCGTGCGCACAGACTCGACAATAAGGAACTAGATGACACACGAAGCACGGAGGGCTCGGACCGAGACCCGACGCTGTCTGAATCACAAAAGAGAGCAGCAAAATCACTCGACCAACTGTGTGCGACTGTTGTGCCGCTCCAGTGCGACACATGCGTGCACGAGCCGCACCAACCATGAACAGAGTCCATGGCGCGAGGGCAAGTGACCCATGGCCTCGTAGCTCGTGTGGCAATTTGAATGTAAGGCACCGGACCCAAGGCAACCCGAATACAGCAGTCTTTGAAATCCCGCGGGAAGTCATCGCGCAGCGCGCGCAGCGAAGAAACTCAGAGTACCCTTGCGAAAATCAGCCGGTTTCTGGACGCCCTTTTGCACACCCCGGTATCACGATGCCCCGAGTCATCCTGAAAGATGGCATCGACGGGGGGCAGGGGCGCCCCGCATTGCGGCGCCCGGCGCGCACAGCAGGCAGACGGCTGGCCGCGGTGCGTCAGTCTCAACAGCCTGCCAGGTGAGATGGGCGCCGAAAGCGCACTCTAACCGACGTTTTCTTTGTTGATCGGCAGCGCGGGCGGCAGACACGGTCACAGACGCCTGGCGCGATGCCCCCTGGCCGGACACCTTGCGGAGTTGCGCGGTGCGGCGCGCGGGCAGCCATGCGACGTCCGCCACGCTGTCGCAGGCGCAGCCGGCCCTGCGAGGTCGCTCGACCCGCAGCCTGCGCCAGAATGACATCCGAGGTCCCGTGGCCCATCGCCAGGGGGGTAGGGAGGAGGAGGAAAAGGAGAAATCGACGACGACGAGGCCCTTCGCCTGGTGGGATCTACGTGAAAAGCCCTCCGAATGCTCACAAGAACCCCCCCCCTCGAGAACCGCCAGAAACCTTCTGGAGACCACCAGCGTACCTCCGAGCGCCAGTGAAGACCCCGCGACAAATCCCCTCCCCTCTCAGGGCTGAATCGGATCGTGAAGTCGGACGGGATGGGAAATGAAACGAATCGCCTCTGAGTCGTCGCGGCATCGTTTGTGATCATGGATCGGGCTTGGCCCCTGCAGGCCAGAAAGAAATCGGTTCGTGTCGGATCGGAACGAAATCGGAATCAACGATTGGGATCGGACTGGATAAAATCGGACCGTGAGCAGCCCTGCCAGGCCGTCCCGCGCTGGACTCTGGCGGCAGGGGAGACGGCATCCTAACACAGCAAGGGGTTTCTCAGAAGCCCCTCCACGCCTTGTGAGAGGCCTCCTTAGAGTTAGCGGAGACGTAAGACTCGGGTACGGGGGACTCGGGTTGGCCTGACGGGGCCATCATTGAATTGGCGAAACCACATCTGAAATTTGACGCGCGCTCCCACTGCAAACATCCCACGAACACCGGACCGTCAAAATCCAGGACGCGCTCGTCAAAAAACGTCGGCAACCCGAGTTCCGGCGTACTCGAGTCTATACGTTTCCTCGATCGAAGACCCCGGCCCCCTGCTGGACAACTGTCGACGCAACACATACAGACCCCCCGCCCCTGCCGCCCAGGTCCGTCCTGGTCCCAGAAGTGGTGCACACGCCCCCCTACAGGTTGGTCAGGGAGGCATATGCACCGACCCTGGGCCCAGGATGGGCCTGTCCAGGGGCGATGGATATGTATCGATCCTGTCGCCCAGTGAAATCGCGGAGCGCCCAACAAGGGAATCAAACAGAGGGTGCTTAGCGCATCATGGCCCGAGGCGCGGGGCCAGGGGGCGTGGGGACCGAACAGGATGGAGCCATGAGATCTCCCAGATTTCACAGCCCAGGCAACGATTCCCCCCCCCCCCCCCCTTCGTGCACGGCCCTCGAGAAAAGCCCCTCTCCTGCCATCTCGGCAGGCCGCACCTCTCACACCGCACCCCCGCACGCCGCCAGTTTCAGGCTCGCACCGCGCCGGTCTCTGGCGCGCGCGCGGCGCCCAAATCTGTCTGGCCGGGGACGCGCTAACCGGGGCCAGCGCTAGCCAAGGTCGGCCAGGGCCACGTCAGGAGGGCGCCAACTATATGCACCCACACCGGTCCTGGTCAGGCCCATCCTGGGCCGGCATCAGTGAATGCACCCTCCTGGCTCTGGGCTTCGCCAGGAAGACATCTACACCGATCCTTGGTCAGGGCCGGCCGGGCCAAGATAGGTGCAAGTGTATAACTGGCGACCTCTGGCACTCTGCGAGCCCACATCCGCTGCATAAGAGCTCCCAAAGCCATGCCGGGTCGGCTCCAAGTGGTTGCCAAACCCAGGTCAACCATGCTGACATCGGAGATTGAAACACCCGACGTGGGTATGAAACAATTGGGTACCATGCCCAAGAGCAAATGTTATCCAAAATCTACAGCAGCCGTTGTCAGGTAAGCGACGTGTTGTTCCAAGTGGACAACATCTGCGGCAACACCGACAGCGAGTGTTCAGAATTGGCAAAAACTGCTGTTGGTCGTCGTCCCCATTCTCTCCGTTCCCGCCTCGATCGTACCGAACGTGGCCCCCAAACCCAGGCCAGCCAAGAGCAGACCATGGAAGACGGCAGCTCGACCCCGTCTAGCGCTGAGCCCTCGCTACCTGCGCCCCGATGCCCTCAGGACACGCCCTGGCCAGCGCCCAGGGAGCTCAGAAGGGCAGCCATATCTGGCAGCACGCCCGGGCGGAGAGGCGGTCGAACCAGGTCAGCGGCACTCTCTCTCTCTCTCTCTTTCTTTCGCAGGCTCTCTCTCTCTCTCTCTCTCGCCCTTTTCATCCTCCCTGCCCCATTTCCCCCCTTCCCCGTCTTTCCAGTTGTCCCCCTTCGCACTCTCCCCTCCCTCTACTCTCTCTTCTCTCCCTTTCTCTCACATACCCTTCTCATCCTCTCTGTTCCCTTCCCCTCTTCCCCTCCCCCCTTGTTTGCCCCCCCCCTTCTCCCCCTCCCCCTTCTCTCTCTCCCCTGTCCCCTGCCGCTCCCCCTGCAACCCGAAAGGCCTGGCCTGGGCCAGCAGCCGAGGGCGATGCTCCTGCAGCTCCGGACGCCGCGGTCATCGACTGAAGGCCGCTGTCTCTTCTGCGCCGCTCGGGGTCTCTCCCTCCCTCCCTCCTCCTCCTCTCCCTCCTCCTCCTCCTCCTCCTCCTCCTCCTCCTCCTCCTCCTCCTCCTCTCGTCCCCTTCCTACTCCTCCTCCTCCTTCTCCTCCTCCTCCTTTTCCTCCTCCTCCTCCTCCTCCTCCTCCTCCTCCTCCTCCTTCTCCACCTCCCCCCTCCCCCCCCCCCCCGAATTTCGCACGACGGCAGCGAGGCGGCACCATCGGCTAGAAGGGCTCGCGGGGGGTAGCAAGGTGGCGCGAGCAGCTGCGCTGCACAGCGTGGTCGACATGCAAGCGTGGCGCCCGAGCCCGAGGAAACCTGGAATAGGGCACCGACAGCCGACCTCAGAAGGCACCACTGGAAAGAGGCAGCGGCCACGCCAGGCAACGACCACAGGACATCCCCACACCGCAGACAGAGCGGCTTTGCCGCAGGATGCCGACGGCGAACGGATCTTCCCAAATGAATTCGTCTCAGTGGCAGCAGGAGCACAACATGCATCTACACACGTACTTTCGCAACCCATTCCATCGACATCCACATTCGCGCAACTGCATACTTGCTGCAATGTCTACGTGGCGTCTCGCCAAACTATATTTCTCCACGCATATTCTTACAGCGGAAAACCCCGGGTGACCCCCCCTGCGTGAATTCTGCCCTGAACGCTTCAAACGGGAAGAAGTTTTGACGTTCGGTTGCAGGAGTCCCTTCAGGCCATCCCAAGCTGCCAAAGCGGGCCCAAGATCGCTTCCCGGACGGTCCCGCGGAGCACCGGCACGACCCAAGACCGCTCCAGAACACCCATGCTGGTCTCAGGACGGCCAAAAAGGCCTCCACGACGCCCACGAAAGCCAGAAGATTGCCCCCAAGACGGCCCCAGGCGTTACAATTCATCGATTTGCATTAAGTTTTCGATAGATTGTAAAGTTACCGTTTTGTCGAGCTTCCAACCGCGCAAGACGGCCAAAGAGGCCCCAAAGATCGCCCGAAGACGGCCCAAGTGGGTCGCAAGAAGGCCCCAAGACGGCCCGGGAGGGCACCCGAAACGGCCGAAGAAGGCCCCAAGACAACTCGAGAAGCCCCGCAATACGGCCCAAGAGGGCCCCAAGAAGGACAACCAGAACTGGCAATTCGAGCTTTTCCTTCCAACTTGGCCCCAGATACCGCCGAGGGGCCCCCAAGACGCCCCGAGAGGCCCCTAAGAGGCTCCCAAGAGGCCCTAAAGGCGTCTTCAAAAGATGGCCCGGGGAAGCCCCAGAAATGCTTCAATGATCTGATCTCGGGGGCCCCCAAGAGACCCCAACAAGTCTCCCATAGAGGCCTCTGGAAATCTCACACGTTCCACAAGTCCCAAGGGTCCCGCAGGTTTCAGAGGCCCCATGTCCCCCACGTCCCACATGTACAACAGGTCCCACAAGTCTCGCAGGTCCCACAGGTCCCACAGGTCCCACATGTCCTACAGGTCCCGCAGGTCCAACAGGTCCCCCAGGTCGCAGAGGTCCCACAGGTCCGACAAGTGTCCAAGGTCTGGCAGGTCCTGTAAGTCCTACGGGCACCACAGGTCCCACAGGTCTCACAAGTCTTGCAGATCTCGCAAGTCCTATAAGTCCCACAGATACCACTGGCCCCGCAGGCTCTACGGGTCCAATAGGCTTTCCGTTCTTGCAGGACCCACAAATGCCACAAGTCTCGCATGTCCCAGCAAGTGCAAGTGTCGCAAGTCTCGCGGGCTCCACAAGCACAACAGGTCCCACGGGTCCCACAAGTCCAGCACGTCCCACAGGGGGCCAAAGGTATCGCAGGTATCGCAAGTACCACAAATATCACATGACCCACAGACCCACAAATCCTACTACGGGTGTCGAAGGTCCCGCAATTCCCACAAGTGTTGCACGTCCCATGGGTTCCACATGTGCCGCAAGTCCAGTAAACCCGCAAATCTTTCAAATACACCAAGTCCCATGGGTCACCTTTGCTGCTATTCGAAAGCCTGCTGGGGTAATCATGCTTTCCATGTTGCCAGAACTCCTCTCATTGGAAGGGAATCCCACCAGCCCTTTGGGCGTGAGTGGTTTAGCGAGCTCTCTCTTTGTTGTCAACCCCCCTTCTTCCCCTTCGGGGAGGGGTTTACCCCTCCCCCTACCCCCTCCCCCTGGGCCTGGAGAGGGCGTTCCGCGGGTCGTTGGAGGGGTCTTTTTCGACTCCTGGGAGGGCTAAAATTCGACACCCCTCACGAGGATTCTGGCCCCGACGGGGGGAGGTAGAAAAGTGCTCGCCCCATCTGTGATCGATCGCCCGACAGATGGCCCCAAGATTCCTCCCAGACCCCTCCCAAAGAGCCCCAAGAGGCCCCAAGAGGCCTCCAAGAGGCCCCAAAGATGCCCCCAAGAGGCCCCCAAGAGGCCCCAAGAGGTTCCCCCGAGGCACCCAATACGCTCCTGGAAGCCCCATGGAGCCGCGAAGAGGCCCCCAAGACGCCCCAAACGGCCTCCAAGAGGCTCCGAAGAGGCCCGAAGAGGCTCCCCCAAGGCACCCAAGACGCTCCTAGAAGCCCCTGGGGCCGCCAAGAGGCCCCGAAGACGCATCAAAAGACCTCCAAGAGGCTCCCAAAAGACATCTACTTCTACTTCTACTACTACGTCTACTACTACTACTACTACTACTACTACTGCTGCTGCTGCTGCTACTACTACTACTACTACTACTACTACTACTACTACTTCATCTACTACTTCATCTACTACTACTACTACTACTACTACTGCTACTACTAGTTCTAGTTCTATTACTACTACTACTACTACTACTACTACTACTACTACTACTACCGCTGCTACTACTACTAGTACTACCACTACCACTGCTACTAGTACCCCTGGTAGTATTATTACTGGTACTACTACTACTGTTGCTATTCGTACTAAGACTACGACTTCTACTATTACCACTAGTCCTGTTACTGCTACTACCACGACAGCTACCACTACTACTCCTAAGACTACCATCACTACTACTGCTACTACTACTACTACTACTACTACTACTTCTTCTAAATCTAGTACTACTACTTCTACTCATGGTGCTACGGCCACTACTACTACCAGTACTACTACTACTACTACTACTACTACTACCACTACTACTATTACTACTACTACTACTACTACTACTACTACTACTACTACTACTTCCATATAGACCACTGCTCTAGTGACTGCCACTGCTACTGAGACAACTACTGCGACGACGACGTTGACGACTACGTTTGCTACTACCGCTGGCACTGGTAATGCCATTTCTACTACTACTACTATTACTACTACTACTACTACTACTACTACTACGACGACTTCTACTACTACTACTACTACTACTACTACTACTACTACTACTACTAGTGTTCCTACTACTACTACTACTACTACTACTACTACTACTACTGATACTACTGCTACTACTGCTACTACTACGACTACCACTACTAATTCTACTACGACGGCTACTTCTACTGCTACTGCTACTGCTACTGCTACTGGTACTGCTGCTGCTATTACTCCTACTGTTTCTAGTACTACTACTACTACTACTACTACTACTACTACTACTACTACTACTACTATAGCTACTCCTACTACAACCAGAACTACTACTACTACAACTATAACTACTGATACTACAACTAGACCTACTACAACTATAACTGCTACTACTAATACTACTAGAACTACTACTACTACTACTACTACTACTACCACTACTACTACTACTACTACCACTACTACTACTGCCACTACTACTACTACTACTACTACTACTACTACTATAACTATTACTACTACTACTACTACTACTACTACTACCACTACTACTACTACTATTAGTACAATACAACTACTACTACTACTACTACTACTACTACTACTACTACAACTACTACTACTACCACTACTACTACTACTACTACTACTCCTACTACTACTACTACTACTACTACTACTACTACTACTACTACTACTACTACTACTACTACTACTACTATTACTACTACTACTACTACTACTACTACTACTACTACTACTACTACTACTACTACCACTACCACTACTACTGCTACTCCTGCGAAGCATGCCGACCGTCGTGTTTTTCCGGCGTGTCTCCGCCTGTCCTCGCATACATCCCCTGTTCCTTCTTCCTCCTGCCTCCTTGCACATCCTCCTACATCTTCCTTGTGGGGGGAGCCGAGGGAGGACGACTCGGAGGAGGAGGAGGGAGAGAAGGCGATGGGAGGCAAGACGGAGGGCGGTCGTCGTCGAGTCATACACGTGAACGAGTCTGACGACTCACATGACGGCGACGTCTCACACGATGACGGCGACGACGACGTCGACGACGACGACGACGATTACGATGACGACGACGACTTCGACGACGACGATTCAATGGACGACGGCCTCGACGATCCAGCGATCTTTCCCGACCAGTTGTGCAGTGAGCGCCCCGCGGAACTGGCTGCAACTGGGCGCTGGCGGTACACCGTCAATTGTTTTCCTTCGCTCGGAGCGCACGGGGCACAAGTCAGCACCCTGCTCAGGCTCGCAGGCTTGACATGCACCTGAGAGGCAGGTTCGCCAATCAAGATGGGCGCGGGCAGCAGGCGGCAGGTTAGGAGGGAGACGAGGAAGAGGAGCAGAAAAGGAAACTAGCCTCCAAGATCGGCCCCCTCGAACAGATCTGAGGATTTCCGTTCGGCAAGGGTAAAATCACGGCACTCAGAGTGTGCCAGTCCTGGTCAAGAATAGAGGTGGTGTGAGTCGTTGGGGCCCCTCGCCCTGGTGTGAGTCGTTCGGGCCCCTCCTTGTGTGAGTCGTTCGGGCCCCCCGCCGAACGACTCACACATCGAGGAGGGGCCCGAACGATTCATACCAGGGGGGGAACCCGAACGACTCACACCAGGATGAGGGCACCGAGCGAATCTACTGAACCCTGGTAGCGGCCACGCCCAAGGATAAAACTGCCTCAGCTCACAGTGTAGCCAAGTAGCGACACCACCCATTACTGATTGAGCGGTGCATCAAAAGGTCATCCCACCAATGAACCATCACTGAGTAGAGTGACCAGCACCATCACCTGCCAGGGTAACCAGCACCATCACAGAGTACAGTAACCAGCACCAGGGAACCCAAGTACGGGCTCCAGCCCGATTGCAATACAAGTCCCACCACCGGGATGTTTCCTATACTAGAGCCCACCTGAAGCGCCACGGAAGCTGAATAGAGGCACGTCCACCATTGGATAGATACCGAAGCCCAAGCCATGCATACAGGAACCACCGACCCCATTGAGGCAACATCCAGTGTCCAGCCTCACTGTACCCAGAGGTATTGTCGTATAGCAGCGTAAAAACCATAGTGGTAAATATTGAACTCGCCAGTACTGGAGGAGAGACCATACACCATCTGAGCCCAATGCCTGACACCCCACGGAACCCAGCAAGCACCAAGAATAAGAGACAATAGCGGCGACCACCTCGGGCCGGCCCCTTCGCCCTGGTTTGAGCCGTTCGGGCCACTCCGTGTGTGAATCGCTCGGGCCTCTCGCCGAACGACTCCGAGAACGAGGAGGGCCCGAACGCTTCATACCAGGAGGGGGGACTCGAACGACTCACACCAGGAGGAGGGCACCGAACGAATCCACTGAACCCAAGTAGCGGCCACACCCATGGGTAAAACTGCCTGAGCTCCCACGTAGCGATACCACTCATTACAGATTGAGCGGTGTATTCAAAGGTAATCCCACCAATGAACCATCACTGAGTACAGTAACCAGCACCATCACCTGAGCAGGGTAACCAGCACCATCACAGAGTACAGTAGCAAGCACCAGAGAACCCAAGTACGGGCTCCAGCCAGAGTGGAATACAAGTCCCACCAGCGGGATGTTTCCTATAGTAGAGCCCACCTGGAGCGCCACTGAAGCTGAGTCCCACCAGCCCTTTGGGCGTGAGTGGTTTAGCGATCTCTCTCTGTTCTCAACCCCCCTTTCTTCCCCTTTGGGGAGGGGTTTACCCCTCCCCCTACCCCCTCCCCCTGGACCTGGAGAGGGGGTTTCGCGGGTGGTCAGAGGGTCCTTTTTTTCTACTCCTGGGAGGGCTAAAATTCGACACCCCTCACGAGGATCGTGGCCCCGACGGGGGTACTGACAAAAACGCTCGCCCCAGCTGTGATCGATCGCCCGAAAGATGGCCCCAAGATGCCTCCCAGACCCCTCCCAAAGAGCCCCAAGAGGCCCCAAGAGGCCCCCAAGAGGCCCCCAAGATGCCCCCAAGAGGCCCCCAAGAGGCCCCGAGAGGCTCCCCCGAGGCACCCAATACGCTCCTGGAAGCCCCTGGGGCCGCCAAGAGGCCCCCAAGACGCCCCAAACGGCCTCCAAGAGGCTCCCAAGAGGCCCGAAGAGGCTCCCCCAAGGCACCCAAGACGCTCCTAGAAGCCCCTGGGGCCGCCAGAACGCCTCACGCCACGAGGAGCCCGAACGACTCACACCAGGACGAGGGGCCCGAACGACTCACACCACGAAGAGCCCGAACGACTCACACCAGAAGGAGGGGCCCGAACGACTCACACCACGAGAGAGGAGCCCGAACGACTCACACCACGACGACGAACGAGGAGCCCGAACGACGACTCACACCAGGACGAAGAGAAGCCCGAACGACTCACACCAGGACGAAGAAACGACTCACACCACGAAGAGCCCGAACGACTCACACCAGGACCCGAACGACTCACACCCCAAACGACTCAAACCACGAGGAGCGCTTTCTCTCCCTCCTCCTCCGCCTCGTCCTTCTCCCGCTCCCACCACAAGGAGGATGTACAAGGAGGCGGGAGGAAGGAGGAACAGGGGAGATATGCGGGGGCAGGCGGAAACACGCCTGAAAACCACGACTGTCGGCATGCTTCGCAAGAGTTGCTGTTTTGAGATGGGCTGGTGGGGATACGCGAAGCGTGAAGAATTAAGTTGTGCCCAGATACAACAGTCCAGCGTTTCGTGTCCGAGAGGATGAGGAGGCAGAGGAGGAGGAGGAGGAGGAGGAGGAGGAGGATTGGGGAGCTGTAGCAGCACTTGCAGGAGCTCACCAGTTCCAGATCCAGTTCCAGCTCAGCTCCAGCTCAAGCCCTAGATCCAGCTCGAGCCCAGCTCCAGCCCGAGCCTAATGAAACATGAGCCCCATGGATTTCTTCGCTCCTGTTGAAGCAGATGAACCCCGTATGCCGTTCAAACTCTATGAGACGTGTGACCTCATGACCCTCATGAACAATACAAGCATCGTGCGCCCTAGAGCCTTCGGGAGACCTTCCAGACCCGTGACGCAAGCCACCTCTAAAAGCTCTGGGACAACGCCACCCCAGTCCCCATTCCCAATTGACGGCGATGGCGGTCGCAGCGCACATCGCTGGCGACATGCGACCAAGATTGCAATGGCGAAGCGCAATGAGCTGGTCAAATCAGGTGTATGTATACACATACATACATCTACACGTAGATACTCGTGCTCGCCGACGCCTGTCCACTGTTGCGTTTACATCTGCACGTGCATTCGCATACGCATGCCACTTGTGCATTTTCACGTGCACGTCACCTGGCACCATCATACTGTTTGCTTGCGGCCTACACGTGGTGGGCACACTCAAGCATGAAACGGTGGAGCCACACGCTGCCATCGTTTGTTGTCGTGAACCTCATCCTCACCGATCTGCATCTCCACGCTCATTTGTCGGCACCATCAACGGCTCGACTTGGTTAGCACACGTTAACAATCCATTATTGCATGGACAAAGACTCACACGTGCGTCTATATAAGCGCGCACGTGAAGGAACAACCGCTATACCCATTCCGCACCAACATATTTCGCAGCATACGTAATCCATTTAAAAACCCGCTTGCACACTGCATGAAAGCAGGAGGCGCAGAGAACGGACGAGCAGCAGCTGGATAGGGAAGTCGAATATCAATCATACGTTGATGTGGGTGGTGATTATGAAGACACATCGACGGAACACATACTAACAACTTCAATAATCCGTGGCCCTGCTTGACTAGCTTTCTGCAGCGGTGCGATCTGATTTGGAGCTCACCCTCCAGCTTTCGACGCGAGCAACACAACGGGCACATGCTTTGACGCGGAGGCAGATAAGAGTTCCCCCCGTCAACTCTAGATTCTCGGCCATTGCGTCGGCTTCACTCGAAGTGTTAACTACTCCTTTTTACTTCAGTACTTCAGTGCCGCTAATGTAACTGAGGGAAATGCTGTAGGGAAATCAAACGGTACCGATACCGCTAGTCCGCGGACCTCTCGAGGGCGCGCTCTGACCAGGATGTCAAAGCGCATCCAGCCTGGGTAGTCGAAGCCAATCTGGCGCCAATCTGGCAGGCCCAATCTGGCAAACGGGGGCAATCTGGCGAGGGAGCCAACGCGAACCCAGAAATCATCCAGCTTGGCCAGGCCAGATTGGCCCTTGGGGCCCAATCCAATCTGACAGTCTGGCCTTCGACTACCCAGCCAGCTGTGGCGACGCGGGCCTCCCAGGAGGCCCGAAAAAGTGAGAACGAGGGAGGCCACGGAATCCGCATCGGTCCCATGTTCCTCCTCTGAGGCTGGGTTCAGCGACTCGCAGCAGCAGGGCACGCCCGAAAAGCAGAGCGGGCGCCTTCGCACCTTCTGAGAAGCTCCAGGAGCCTTCTCAGGCGACAGAGGGAGGCGACTTCTCGGAAGGCCAGGGGGCCTCTGGGAAGCCCCGCCGCCTTCTGAGAAGGCCTGCCCCCTCTCGCTTCCTCCCTGGGCTCGCCGCCGATGCCTGGCGATCCCGACGGGATGGCTGGGCCCAGTGTCCCGCGGCTCGCGCTGCCCGATCGAATCCACGAGGCGCCCAGGGCGCCACGCGCAGCGCAGATGCGAAAAAGGCGTCGATTGGACCGCGAGGGGGGTGATCGGACGGTCGGCAATGGGCGGCGGTGTGCCAAACTTGACCTCCAGGATTTGCACGGATGCTTCCAGACAGGGCTTCCCTGGGAACGGGCACGCAGCCCAGCGACTCGCAGCAGGGCGCGCCGAAAGAACCGAGAGAGGGGCGCTCTCCTGCAGCAGCGCCGCGACGGCCGGGTCGGTCCCTGGCGGGAGCGGGCCGGGGGCCCCAGCCTGGGCGGGCCGGGCGCGCCCGAGGTCCTCCTCCAACGCTCTCGTGCTCCTCCTCCGCCTCCTCCCTCACTCGTCCACCCCCCTCCCTCCTTCGTCCCCTCCTCCTCCGCTTCCGTCCTCCCCTTCCTCCTCCCCCTCCCCTTCCCCCTCCTCCCCCTCCTCCTCCTCCTCCTCCTCCTCCTTCTCCTCCTCCTCCTCCTCCTCCTCCTCCTCCTCCTCCTCTCTCCTCTTCCTCTCTCCTCTCTCCTTTGTCCTCCTCCTCCGCTTCCGTCCTTCCCTTCCTCCTCCTCCTCCTCCTCCTCTCCTCCTCCTCCCTCCGCTTCCGTCCTCCCTTCCTCCTTCCCCTCTCCCTCGCCCTCCCTCCCTCCTCCTCCACCTCTCCACCTCCTCCTCCTCTCCTCCTCTCTCCTCTTTCATCTCTCCACTCTCCTTTGTCCTTCTCCTCCTCCTCCTCCTCCTCCTCCTCCTCGTCCTCCTCCTCCTCCTCCTCCTCCTCCTCCTTTCTCTCTCCTCATAGAGAACCTCCCTGTCGCACACCGGGGCTGGTCGAAAGGGCGGGCCGGGCGTGTCGTCTGAGATTGCCACACCACCCATGACCACTCATGACCAGGGCTGCGCACATTCGTTCGAACAACTGCAAGAATTTCACGCATTGAGGGAAGGTCGTATCCAAACTGTGGCTCTCGCCTTAACGCCGGGTTCATTCGTTTTTAAACATTTGCGAGAGCTTCGCGGATTGAGTGCGGGCCGTTGTCAAAATGCGGCTCTCGCCTGAGCGCCGCGCACATCTGAAAAAAATGCAGGAGATTCGCGGATTGAGGGAGGGCCGTTGTCAAAATGCGGCTCTCGCCCGAGCGTTGCGCACATTCTTTGTAAACAGTTGCAGGGGTGTCACAGATGGAGGGCGGTTGGTTTCAATATGTGGCTCTCGCGTTATTGCCGCGCACAGTAACTTGTAAATGATAACAGGAATTTCGCGGATTGAGGGCGGGTCGTTGTCAAAATGTAGCTCTCCCCGCAGCCTCGCGCACGTTCGTCCCAAACATTTGCAATCATCACACGGATTCAGGGCGGGTCGTTTACCAAATGTGGCTGTCGCCTGAACGCCGCGCACATCCGGTTTCAACACTTGCGAAGAGTTCCACGGATTCTCATGGTTAACGTACCAGGAATTGTGTGTTCGAAGCGATTCAGTGTCAGGGCGCAAAAGTTACGTTGATTCGCGGCGTTGACGTCCCAGGATTGGTGTTCCAGCACGATTCAGGACCGCCGAGGCATAACTGTCAGGATAACCCGTGGCGTTGAGGTCCTGAGAATGGTGTCTTGGCACGCTTCAACATGTTCACGCTTCACGATGTTCACACGGTTGTCCCCCAACGGGGTAATTCCCTCAGAGAAAACGGCCCCATGTAAGGGGTCTATGACGAGGGAACTTGGAGGAAGGGTTATTTCGACATACTTGATGAATATTGGGCTTAATATGGTACTTCTCCTTCGCCTCCCCCTCCCCCCCTTCTAGCAAAACTCCATGTAGTAAAGACGGCGCAGAGGACCAGACCCAGCGGGCGTAGAGCCGCAGAACATGTGGCCGCGACGCCGCCCGGAGACCCGCTAAAAAGCAATTCGCAGATTGACTGGGCAGGGTGGGGGTTCTTACAGCCTCCAAGGGCGGTGCGAGGGCTTTCCCCCTGCTTCCCCAGACCCCCCTCGCGTTGAGAAAAAATCGCGACGGAAGATGTTTCCATATGTTCGGCCTCCAGAGGCCCTTGCCGGGCCTCATGACCATGAAACAACGGCTCGGGACGTGAAACCGGTCCCGGGGAAGGGGTCCAGACCTCTGGGGGTCGACGTTGTGAGGAGAACACGACGTCGGGGGTCTGGGCCTAGACCTCCATCGTCTTGGGCTTATCGAGACGGTTGTCTTTCGTCTTGCTTGAATGCCGCCCGAACGTGGCCGACGTAGACGAGGTCCGAAGATCGCATGTACATCGGTGACGTCAGGGTGGAGGCTTTCCTCCTGCTCGCGCAGCATCGCTGGTTTGACGGACTGGCGGTGTGGCAACATCCCCCGAACTTTTCGGCTCCGGAGGCCCTCGCTGGGCCCCCGGGCAATCAACACAAACGGCTCGAGATGAACAACCCGCCCTGGAGGCAAAGGTCGGGACTTTCGGGGGGGCTGTAATTAGAAGAAGTCGGATCTGCCTGGCTATTCCCGTTCGTTCGTGGCTTCTGGGCCAGGGTCTGACTCCCACACAGCTGGAGCAGAGAGCAACGACGGCAGAGAGAAAAAACGGGAGGCGGCAATCGCGGCAGCGAGCCGGCCTCACAACATGTAACTTTCGAAACAGATCCAGCTTCCCCCGCCCCCCCCATAGGAGGACACCAATTCATCGACGGACCCAACCCTGTGAAGGAAGCGGCGCTCTCCTCACAAAATGCGTGCAACTGGAGAGAGTTTGAGCCCATCACGGGGCACGCTCAGCGTGAGGGATGCGCCGAATCCCACCAGCCTCTGGGCGTAGGTGGTCTAGAGCGGTTTCTCTTCCAACCCCTTCCTCGTCCCCTTCGGGGGGGTGGCATCTCTGTTCCTTCGTGATATAATTACACTGTGCACCCCCTCCCCCACCCGGCCGGCGGCCAACCCGGAACCATGCCGACTCCATGCGGGCCCGCCCCCCGCCATCCCTGTCAAACAATACAAACCGCACTCTGTCTCCACGTTTGGAACATACGCGGCCAACCCGATGCGCCCCCCCCACACCATCCCTGAAAGTAACAATGCAAATACACTCTGGGGCAAATTCTTGAGTCATGTTCGTGAGGCCCGCGAGCAATTTCTATTGATTCTGACAGGGACGGCGGGGGTGTCAGCATGCTTCCTGGTGTGCGTAGGGCTACCATCTCTGATACAAAAACACTACAACATGCACCTCGCGACTAAATCTGGATCATGTGCGGCCATCCCGCGATCACTGTCAAGTGGTGTGTGACAGGGACGGCGGGGGTGGTGTCGCGTGGCCTACTCTACGCAGGCCCACCAGACACAATGATGGGCATTGGTTTTCGACATGGACGGTGGGGGCCGACATGTTTCCCGATGTGTGCTGTCAAGTGCGCAGGCGGTCCTGACGCACTCTGCACGTGCTCTGAAAGTGGCGCACTTGGCGCGGCTGGAGTATGCGGCACACCTGGCGCACTCGGAGCACGTGGCGCATTTGGCGAATTGGGCGTGCCTGGCACGATCGGGCTCCAGGGGTGCCTGCAGGCGCGCGTGGCGTTCCTGGCACACGTGGCGCACCTCGCCCAAGCGTCGCGCACCTGGGGTCCGCTTTGGTTCCCAGTAGCTGCCCATCCAAAGACGACCGCTGAGCATGCTCAAGCTCGGGTGTTACTTATGTGTTGGGAGGGCGGGTGGGAGTGAGCTAGACGGTTTGCGGGGGGATGGGTAGCTTGACCCCTCCCCCTACCCCCTCCCCCAGACCTGGAGGTGGATTTCCCGAGGCGTTCGAGCGTCCAAGATGGCCCAAGATGGCTCGAGGAGGGCCCCAGTGAGTCCAAGGTGACCTCCAAGATGGCTCAAGACAGCCCAAGATGGCTCAATAAGGCTCCAAAGATGCCCAAGATGCTCCAAGACCGCTCCAAGACGGCTCCGAGTGGCCACGGAGCCTCCCCAGGAGGCCGCCAAGAGGCCAAAATCCTTCACAAACCTTTGGAAAATCAATGATGTGTGCCTTATCTTCTTTTCGATTCCGATGGCCTTCCGAGGCCTTAAGATCCACGAGAGCCCCTGGGTGCCCCAAGAGAGACTCAAGCGAGCCCCAAGACGGCCCCAAGAGCGCCCAAAAGCGCCCCAATAGGGGGGTCCAAGAGGCGATCTCAGGCACTCTAGAGGGGCAAGGCTAGTTAGGTACCCCCCTTTTCAGAGCAATATCCTCCTAGATGGCCCCAAGAGCGCTCCTAAGGAGCTTCTTGTAGTGAGAACGAAGGCCTGTAGGGACTTCTGAGGAGAAGAATTGGGACGGGAGGGCGTATTGCATCAGCGTTGATGCATCTTGGGTTTAGTCGGGTCTTCCTCCTCGACCTCATCCTCGTCCTCGTCCTCCTCCTCCTCCTCCTCCTTCTCCTCCCCTTCGTCCTGCTCCTCCTCCTCCTCCTCCTCCTCCACATCCTCCTCCTCCTCCTCCTCCACATCCTCCTCCTCCTCCTCCTCCTCCTCTCCCCATGCGTCCCCCTCTCCCTCCCCTCCTCCTCCTCCTCCTCTTCCTCCTCCTCCGCTTCCTCCTCCTCCTCCTCCTCCTCCTCCTCCTCCTCCTCCTCCTCCTCCTTCCCTGGCATTTCTGGGCCACGTCGGATTCGGCTTCCCAGCCCAAGCTACATAAGCCCTCCCTCCCCACTTCGACCCTTGATCCTCGGCCTTCGCCGCCTCATCCTCGCTGATCGGTGCTCGATCCTCGAGTCGAATCCCCCTACCCTTCCCGGGGGAATGAAAAACTACAGATGGCGCCGCGCCCCGGACCGCTCCCAGAGTGCGTTCTGAGAACTTCGAGGCGACTCCAGCGGTGTTGACGAGGGCCTCCCCGGAGGCCCTCAAAAACGCAAACGAGGCACCGGCAGATGCTTGGGTGCCTTTTCTCTTGCGCAGGCTGCCGAGCGATCCAGGCGCTCGTAGCGTCGAGTGTGCGGGTGCCTGTGCCTCCTCCGCATCCTCCGCGGCCGCGGCGGCGCCTGGCCGTCCTGCAGGGACCGCAGGAGCCCCGCGCACAGCTGGGCCTCGGCCCGGCAGGAGGGCCCCGCTGGCCGCCGTGCGCCGGCCGCCGGCCGCCGACACCGGGAGGGGGCGCACGGGGAGCCCCTCCCACAGCAGCGGAGCCGGATGGCGCACTCGCGATGTGCAGCGGGCCTGATCGGGGGGGGGGGGGAGAAAGTCGCCCCTCCCCTCCCCCCCCTGATTTTCAGCGGGCGTGATCGGGGGAGGGGGGGAGAAAGCCGCCCCCCTCCCCCCCCCGATCACATCGCGGCCGTGGGCCGCCAGGAGCACCGAAACGCCCCTGGGCACACCGCCTCAGCCTGCGAGCACAAGGGCGCACCGGGCAGCACCGCATGGACCACAAGACGACCCACTGCACTGGCCTTGCAGACGCGCTGCAGCGGATTTCTGCGTGGATGTTTACCCGAAGTACGAAAGGACTTTCGCGCACCAAAAAAACAGCCGCGCGAAATTCACCTCGGAATCCGGAACGAAATCCTCCAGGATCTTCGGGGCCCCTCCCATCGTCTTCGAGGCCGAAATCCGCTCTGCGATGTGGGCGCCACGAGACGGCGCTGACGCACGAGAGCAGCGCAACGCGCCTGCGAGGTTATCGGCTAGGCATAAAGAGTGACCCTGGGTAAGAGTGACCTTTGGTGCGCAGCTTTTGGGGGCGCGAGGGAGCCAAACTCAAGGGCGCGGGCCGCTTATATCGCATCGCGCTCGGCGATCGGGGGAGCCCGATGAGCCCGCACCAAAAGTCACTCCAGCGAAAGGTCACTCTTACGTGTAATCGAGGAGGTGAACGGGTGACGACTACTCAGCCCGAGACTCGTCGCCGCCGGCATCCAGGGGCCTTCAGAAACCTCCGGAGGCTTCTCGGGGGCCCCACGGCTCCCCCGACTGCCCCCAAACCGCCGACGTCGAAATGTGCAAAAAATATACACACAATCCTCCTCCTCCTCCTCCTCCTTCTTTCTCCCCCTTCTCCTCTTCGCTCCCCCTTCCGTCTCCTTTTCTCGCTCGCTCCTCCGCTCCTCCCCCCAGAGAGATCGGGGCGGGTCCGGGATCCTCAAGAAATCCTCAAGGAGAATCCTTCGGGCATATTTGCAAATGTGGGCGACATTGCGTGACGTGATCCGATGGGAGTGGGGGGAGCGGGCAGATCACGGCCGATATCGCCCAGACCTTAAAAACAACAAGCTCTTGGATGCTGGACATCCGCTTCGTCCTCGCCCTCCCCCTCTGCAAGCCTCCACCTGCGCGGCCTATGCAGCAACCACCTGCGCAGTCTCCGTTGCAGCGCTGGGACCCCTGCCGCCTGGACAATGCTGTCTGACAACATGTTATACACCCTTGTGGCCCCCACAACGGAACGCAAAACAAAATCCGGCGGTGTGAAAGGATGTTTCTGTATACTCCTCCGCGTCGTCCCCCTCCTCCTCGTTCTCATCCTCGTCCTCCTCCTCCATTCCTTTCCTTATGGACAACTCCTCCCTGTCGCGGCCCGAGGCCAATCGAAAGATCGCGCCGGGCGCTTCGCTTGAGACCTCCTGATTATTACGACAATGAAGCTCGAAAACTGGCAACACATTCGCACATGGAGGGCGGGTAGTTTTCAAAATGTGGTTCTGGCCGGAGCGCCGCGCGCATTCGTCTAATAACATTGCAAGAGCTTCACGGATTGCGGGCGGGACGGCTTCATAATGTGGCTCTCGCCTTAGCACCGTGCGCATTCGTCTCAAACAGATTCAAAGGCTTCACGGATTGAGGGCGGGTCGTTTTCAACTTGTGGCTATCGCCTTAGCGCCGCGAGCTTTCGCCCAACAAACTCGAAAGAACCTCACGGATTGAGGGCGGGTCTGTTTCAAAATGTTGCTCTGGCCTTAGCGCCGCGCTCACTCGTGTTAAACATTTCACGGGTCCCCATGGTTAGCGTACAAGAATTGGCTTTCTGGAGCGCCTCACGATTGTCAAGGCGCAGCAGTTATATACAGTGAATTGCGGTTTTGAAGTCCAAAGCGTGGCGTTCTGGCTCGTTTTAGGATTGTCTAGACGCAACAATCAAATGAATTAGCGGCGCTGATGTTCCGACAATGCTGTTCTGGCACGCTTCAGGATCTTCAAACGATTGTCTCCCAACGGGGCAGCTACCTCAGTGGAAATGAGTCCTTGTGAGAGCCTCGGGAAAAAAGGCAGCTTGGGGGAGGGTTGGTGCAAACATCGTTGATGAGAGTTGGATTAACACTTGTCCTCTTCCTGCTCGTCCGCCATCATCATCATCAACATTATCATCATCATCAGCTTCATCACCATCACCATCAACAGCATCACCACCACCAACATCATCATCAACACCACCATCCTAATCATCATAACCATCATCAACATAATCATCAACATTATCATCAACATCATCATCATCCGCCTCCCCCTGCCAACTGCCACTGTTCTCCTTCGATGCGCCTCCCGGATCACTGTATGCTGACTTATGCAAATTTGGACCCGCTTCACTGCCCTTTCTCGGCAACCGATTGCGCAACACCGCGGCGAAGTCACAAGACCAATGCGGCCAACGAGCACGCCGGAAGGAACTGGTGCAACTGGGGAAGCTGCCTCGATGGGGCACCATGTCGAAAAGACAACCCCACCCGCCCGCGGACAACCGCGACGTGTAATACACATTCAACACACAAACACAGACAGTGCACTATCCCTACACTACACATGAAATTCAACAGTTCCACCGCAACGCACATGACGTTTAGAACTGTGGCGTTCCTGATAAAACCGCTGTTCTACGCGATACGACCCTGACACAATCCCTACGCCCCCCCCCGACCGCAGGTGACTGTGGAACGAGGGTTCGCCCCGAACACCTCAAGGTTCCCCCTGGTATCCGCAGGCTTCCCTCGGGAGTCCTCACGACTTCGTCAAGGTCCCGCGGGTCCCTGGCAGTTTTGATTCCGCAGATCCTCTGGATGTTCTGGATTCTCTCGGGACCCCGTAAGATTATCATGTTCCGTCAGGGTTCATCCGGTTTTTGTGCGGTCCCACCGAATGGAGTCCTCCAAGATTCTCAAGGCTCATCATCATTTCCCGGATGGCGCCCGGACACCCCTCAGATCCACAGCCGTGACTACGAGGCAATGCCAGCCTTTAACGCAAGACTGCGTGCGACTCGCACTGGGCCCTGTTCGTCATGATCGCGAATTTGGAGGGAACTTTGTTCTGACGGCTGTCCCCCTGCTGCTGCATATCAACGGGACTTCCCGGGACATCGTTCATGGCTGGCCTCGTGGGGGCACGCGAAACATAAAAAACTAAGAGGATGGACAGGCACGGGTAGTAAAAGTAGTAGTAATAGTAGTAGTAGTAGTAGTAGTAGTGGTGGTGGTGGTGGTGGTAGTAGTAGTAGTAGTAGTAGTAGGAGCAGTAGTTGTAGAAGTAGTAGTAGTAGTAGTAGTAGTAGTAGTAGTAGTAGTGGTAGTAGTAGTAGTAGTAGTAGTAGTCGTAGTCGTAGTCGTAGTCG